TGTCTCTGTGATCACAAAGCATAGGATAATTTAATCTTAAAATCATATATGCCCACATTCAGAAAAGCACAGACACAGAAATAATCAATTTAGCCTCTTCTTTCTATACAGAATTACATAGTAGAGAATTACAGACAAACATTTTGTAAGCATTACGTCTTCAGTAGGCATCTGATCCCAAACATCTATCCAGACAGACTCATTTGGAAAGCACACAGCATACCGGTAGTATGACAGCCAAGTGGGACTAGCCAGACCAACAGAAACAAACTCCTTGATGCTTATACCATTAATTATATCAGAGCAATAATTAAGTTACTCCTTGCTGTTTTGATGTAAGACAACAGAAGAGCAATGACACAGTCTGATAAGAAATGAAAATCACATTCACCAGAGACCCAATAGACAGACCATTACCAGAGCAATATGACCAGCTGTTCTTGCTGGCATCGGAGAAAATGAGACTTACACTGAGGCAGCCTTCGCCCTAGGAGACAGCTGGAGATTTTCACCCTATGTTCCCAACTCAAGCCTAATATCCTCACGTGACTCAATTCATTTTCACCATCTTCAGGCTTTCAGGAATGCAGGGAAACCAATCTCTGGGATGCAAAATACTCCACTGATGTTGTTTGCAGTTACTTGAACATGTTGGCTTTAAATAAAATGAAAGAACACAGGGACCGTGGTCTGCTGAGCTTGGAGCTCCAACGTAGTATCCCTAAAAAACACTGAGCCTGAAGGCTGTCCAAGTGAGGTAGGGAAGTAGCCATCAAAATGAGTCTGGAGAAAAGATACCACGCAACTTCCACCTCCTACTCACAGAAAAGACAATCTTAATCTGCTCATCATGAAGCAAGCGATGAATAGCAGAACAAGCAGAAGTGGATTACAAAATGCTTTAAATGTACTCAAAGCCCAAGACAGGTGTAATTTTTGCATATGCCTTTTGAGAGCTACAGTAAAGAACATACAGCATAGTCTACAGGGAATCTGTTGAGATGTCTTTCATTGCCCAACCACAAAGGTAAACTCCATAAGAAAAACGAGCTACCCCAGATCTCCCTAAAGGACCTTGCAACAGGCTCTGACTTACCACAAACCTTTAATCATCTCCACTACAAGGGTCACTTTGCAACATTACACAGCCTGCAATCAAAAGCTATAAATGAATGCCCATTGGATAACATTGATACCTGAATTTAAGAATGAAATTGTTTAACTTTCATAAGCTGAAGATGTGTCTGTATTTTTGTTTCTTGTTGATACTAGAAAAAAGAAAGAAGCACTGTAAAACCTGCTGAAGTTCAAGGAAATTGCTGTCCGATGTTAGAACTGGAAGTCTGCCTACCGCTCAGTAGAAAAAGGCAAGAAAAGATGCTGAAAGATACTGAATGCAGAGATTGGAAGATGCCCACATAAAGCCCAAAACACAGCAGATCCTGAGCAACCTGTTCCTAAATAACTAAGAAGAAATGAATGTCAAAACTTGATGAGGGAAGAATGGGACTTGCTCACACCTCAAAGGCTTACCTTCAAAGATGTTGTTTTAGACAGGGTGTAGAGAACCACTGCAGCTCCCTGCTACACTAGTGCTTTTTATGGCAGCTCTGAAACTACATTGTCACAACTCCAGCTGAAGTCTGGAGTTGAGGGAAATCCCTGGAAAACAGGCTACTCTTTGGATGCTAGAAGGAATATTAAGAATTAGAGCTAAATGTCACTTTTGGATCTTTGAATGAATTTTAGGTCCTGCCCATTTTGCGCCAAAATGCTTCTAGCCTTCATAGGGTATGCTATTGCTACTTGCCAGATCGCAAGATCTGAGTTGACACAAGTAAGTACAAGATTTTACACATTATGTCAGTTAGGAGTTGTTGGAAGAGGTGTAAGAAACAAGGAGATGCCGAAGTTCACTGAATCTCTCTGAAGAAAGTCACACGGAGAGCAAACTTGTTCTAAAACCTAATGACTGGAGAGCAAATGGCACTTCTTACTACACTAGAACTGGGGGTTGCACCATGGGGGGGTACTCTCCTGAACTGCTCAACTCCACCATCACGATAGGTATGTTTAAGCTGCATTAGACTCTCCAGATGCCTCAAGGTTATAACAAACCTGTCAAAGCTTTCAGTTTATCTTAATAAGCCAGGCTTAAATCAGCACAGTCTAGGTGCCAACTCATAAGTGGATCAGCCAGGCCTGCCTCAGGGATGGGATGAGCATTTGGCAGCAATAACAGCTTCAGCTATGTAATTTTTATCCATCCTCACTAGACTGTCAGAGCTCCAGGCCAACAACTCCTCCCAAGCTGAATTCTAGAAAGTTTTAGGCCAGACACAGGCAGATAAGCACAAATACAGGGATGCAATCACCTTGAAAACTTTGAGGTTTGAAATGGAGTCAACTACTAACAGATACACTATCATGGTTGGGCAATTAGTAACTGGATGGGCTTCTGCGTCACCATTTAGGATCAGGTCCTGCTATAGAAATGAAAGTTCTGGGCCAGGAGACAAAACAACCTTTCCACTTGCCTGAATACATATGCATTTTTTTCTGAGAATATTCAAATACCTTTAGCTACATTATAATGAGGTTAAAGCAAAAAAAGATTTCCCCACCCCAAATATTACAAATGTCAATAATGAGAACAGTAAAAATGTCACCACACAAAGAGAAATTAGCATATTTAGAGAAGTATTATACCCATGAGTGAAATAATGTCATCAGCTACCTGCAAGATAAAGCTAATTTGGTTTCCAACAATTTATCAACAATGCACTGCTCCTTTACATCAACAAATTTAAATGGTACCATATCCTGCAAACAAGAATAATTCACGCAGAATATTACACTGTGTTAATTAAATAGCTGGAATAGAAAAGGTCAGGCCATGACTGAAAAGCACACATATGGGTTGTGAAGCTATGAAAAGATGGAGTAATTTCAAATCAAGCAATTAAAATAAGTTATTTAAATCATTATCAAGTCAACAATAAACACATCTAGATTTTCTGAGCCCATTTTGACAGCTACTTTCTTTTGACACTGCTCCTCATAATTTTTTCTTGCTGACCCATGTAAGAGTCAAAATGTCTTTAAACCCATCATAAGATGAGGTGCTTGAATATGTTATCAAAGTTATCCTCCTTCTATTCAAGTTTTCGTTTTACTCTGCAGGCCAGAGGCAAGTTTTGCAGTTGAAGGACACTGCAAAGCCCTACCTGAGTTACTTCCTGCCACAAGACCAACCAAGAAACCCCTTCCTGCTGTGCCCCCTCCCCCCCCCTTACTACAGTTAGTTGAAAAATGTTCAAAGAGAAGTATTTTTTCACTTTGTTTACTTCTGCAAATGACAGTACTTTGTCTTTGGCACAATGCCACCAAATCACTTACAGTAGTAACATAGCCATTTTAAATTGAAAGGACATTTTGGCATGGGCTAAACTGTGCTGAGATGGTAATGCATGAAAAAGGCCTAGTAAACAGGGAATTAATTTTACTTGGAGCTCCAAAGTACTACTGAAATATGCCTCGGTCATGGCCAAATTCGAATTTTATCCTTTATTTTTATTGTACTTTTATCCCTACAGTTGTACACAGCAAGCTTGAATTTTAATTTGTAATTAATCTGTTATTTAACTATGCATGAATTTTGTTTTTCCTGGGGAATTTCTGAACTTTTCTAGACAAAATCTCATTTTCTTTTTGATTATAGTTCTGCTGATTTCAGTTGGTACAAACTTCCGTTTTGCATCTCTAGTGCAACTTCCAATTTGAACCTCAGTCTAGCAAACAGCTGTGTGGGCTAAACAAAACGCCATGTCCGTATGTTTTGGGAAGAATTTTATGGGAGTGCATGGGTTTGGCTGCAAAGCTGTTGGGGAGACACCACATGTGAAATTCAGTTGTTTGCTGCCTAGCACAGCAACAACTGCAACATTGCCACTGGATCTAAACCCAGCCTGTATGGACCCTGCTGTGCAGCTCTCCCCAGTTCTGCACAGAGGCATTTATCAAGCCGACTTCCAGACTCTGTGACAGAATGCCTAAGCCAGCCAAACTGAAATACCTATTCTTCTCAGGGAAGATGAGCACTGTGCAGCAAACGAGCCATTAATTTTATGACAAGCGCAGATGGTAGATATACAGATAAATACTTGCACAACGTAATGGAATGAATATATACTTCAATCTATTTAAATGATAATAGTTTCTAATGAGCTTAGTGTAACCCACATGATGGTATATTCATCCGAATTATTTTAAAATGTATTTCAATGCAGGCTGTAACTGAATCCTACTATTTTTTCCTTTTAGGAGCATGGCTGATTTGTATCCACCCAACACAATTTACTTCTCCCTTTAAAGGGCCGGATACCCTCAGAAGCCTTCGGTGCCTCCTTTCAGTAAGGTACCCACACCTCCTGAAGGCCAGCCCAGCTCTGCTCTCTGCGACCGCCACGGTGACGGGCTCACGCCTCAGAGGAACGTTTCGGAGGAGGAGCTGAGGCAGACGCAGGAAGCCCCACTCAGGCTCCTCCATTCCCGCCCGCGGCCTGCAGACGCAGCGCGTTGCCGAGCCCGGGCCGCCCTATGCCGCGCCCGGAACCGGGCGGAGCGGTGTCCTTCGCGGCTAGGTGTGTGCGAAGGGGCGGGGGGCACCTACCCGGCGCGGCAGAACGGCGACTCTCTGCCTCCGCCATGCTCCTCCGGCTCTTCCTCCGGGGCGGCTCGAGCGGGCTCCCGTCAGCACCACCCCCCCTTAACGCTCCCCGGCCCGGGAGCTGGCCCGGCCCGTTGAGCCCTGCTGCGCGGGGCGGGGCCGCGGTGGCAGCGTGACTGCCGGGGCTGACAGCGGGCCCAAGACGGGGGTTCTCCCAGCAACCCCAGTGACACAAGAGCTGCCCCTCGCCCCCAGCGGCGGCTCCAGCGCTCCTGTCCTGGTGCCCGAACCCCGTATCCCACTGGGGTGACGGCCCGGCTGACCCCCCGGGGGGCTCCCCGCCCCGCACCCTCCCGCGGCTGCCAGCCGGCACGGCTTCCTCCCCCCGGGTGCCGGGCTCGGCTCTCCTCCCCGGCGCCGCTTCCCTCCTCCCCTCGCCGGCGGAGGAAGGAGGTGGCCGCCGGCCCTCCCCGACCGCGCATGCGGCTGTGCCGAGCCGGGGCAGCGCCGCTGCGCTTGGGGGCTGAAGTGTGGGTGTCCCTTCCCTGGCGGGCCCCCGTCAGCGCCCCCGCAGATGGGCTTAGGCTGGAGCAGCGCGGAGGAGCGGCAGCCCCTCCTGCCACCGCCGCCACAGCAGCAGCAGCCACGGCGGCGGCCGCAGCCGCGGGGTCCGGCAGGGGTACCGGCGGCGGTGCCGGTGCGGCGGGTGGCGCCGCTGGCAGGCCGCGTCTACGGGCGGCGGTGGCTGGTGCTGCTGCTGTTCTCGCTGCTGGGCTTCGCGCAGGGTCTGGTGTGGAACAGCTGGGGCCCCATCCAGAACTCGGCCCGCCTGGCCTTCGGCTTTAGCGGCTGGGACATCGCCCTGCTCGTCTTCTGGGGGCCCATCGGGTTCGCGCCCTGCTTCTTCTTCATGTGGCTCATGGACAAGAAGGGTGAGCGGGGCCGGGGGCTTCTGGGCCGGGGCACGGGACTCCCCGCTCCCGCAGCTTTCCCCGGGCCAGGTGGGACGCGGTGGCTGTGCTCGTGGTCATGCCCATGGCCATGGTCCTGCCCTTGTCCTGGCGACGCCTCGGTGAGGGGCTTCGTCGAGGTCCTGATGCCGAGGGAGGGGGCGCCGCCGGCCCGGGGGCACCAGTTGCTCTCGGGGCTATTGGCCTTGGTCTTAAAAGGCGATGACTAATACTTTAAAGGCATCTTGAGTACTATTTTCAGTACGCAGCTCAAACAAAGGCACATCAAAGGCCTTTCACTCGAAGGTGCTTAAGCTGTTCCTAAAGTTAAGAGGAATGCTGGCATTTTACCTTGTGGCTGAGCTGTGGATCCGGAGATGTGCTCCAGACAAGACATTGCTGTGCGGGTGCTCGACCTGGAGTGGGTCATGTTTTTTTGGTAATCAGCTGTAAAACAAACACCTGTGCTTGGACCAAGGAAAGCCAGTGTTCGTGGCAGCCATTGCGTCCTGAAAGACATACTTCATTTTTAAAAGCAGATTGCACGCAAAGTCAGTGGTTTGCTTTTAATTGCACTAGGAAGGTTCAAAGACAGAGAACGTAAGACAAATAACATAAACCAGAAGTTAACGCTTCAGGATTTCAGAAGGCGATCACAAGAGTTGCCTAATTTGTGTTCAGGCTGTTGCGTTTTGGTAGCAAACTTCAGAAAATGGTGATTGTCTTTAGAGAACTTGCCCAGCGCCTGTGCAGTTCATCTGTGGTCACCCTGGGGATCACTCTGGTGAGGACAGGTACCTGTGTCTGCAGGTTTGAGCTTAAACCCATAGAAGCATTTAGTCTTTTAATTCCTGTTTAAACAGGCCTCTAAACAGGAGATAGGAGTCTGTATACCCTTGTTGTTCTTGATGTTAAATGTTACTCATTCCATTTATTTAGGAATTAATAGCTTATTTATGGGGGGTGGGGAGGGGGGGAAGGTGGAGACTTAAGGCAGGCAGGGAGAAAAGTTGTAGCTGAGAAGGCTTGTGTCTCAAAATTGGAATTGCTGTTCCTAAAGCTGAAGAGGTGTTGGAGGAATACAACCTGTTGGGCTGAAAATACATTCTCCAAATTAGGTCATGGTGGCTGTACAGCCAGTCTTCTTTTGAGCAATCAGACTTAAGTCAGCAATGCCAGTCTAGACTGCTGTGTAATAGTGTTGTTAGCTATCTTAAAGTTAAAGTAAGTTGTTTGGGTTTGCACATTGCAGAGAATTACTCTTTCCATGGTATGATGGAAATAAAGCTAAACTTGAACCTGTGCTTGTAGAATTAAGTCTGTATTTTTATTTCTTCATTTTCTATGAAGTTGATCCCAACCCATGCAAAAATACACTGGAAAAGTTTCAAAGTAACTCATGGGAGAAGAAGCATTGGTGTTTTGTTGTTTCTTTAGTGTGATTAATAATGTGGTTGCTGGATTTTATGGTTTCCCATGTGGATTGTATTAATGAGAATGTGTACAAGATTTTCCTCATTACTGTAACTGATTGCTTGGGTGTTTTTTGTTTTTTGTTTGGGGTTTTGTTTTTGTTGTTTTTTTTTTTTTTTAATTTCCATGTTCATTGAAGAATTGATGTGAACTACCCCTTAGATCTTGCTTTGTTGCTTTCCTTGTTGGGGAAAATTTCAGTTGTTAGCCTAAATAAAGCATCCAGCTCATTGGCTTTATGTGTAAGGAGTACCTAAGTGCTCTGGAGCATGTTCTTTGCACAGCAGCAGATTTTGTGGGGGCCCTGATGTATTTCATGCTGTTTTCTGAGTCTGGATGATTCCACAGTGAATGTGGTACTGTTCGCTTTGGAAATGACAGTGGAATCCTGCCATTTAGTTCCTCATGGAACAAAGAGGAAAGCTATTGCTAACCAGCTCTCCCTGTGGCACATTTCCACTGGAGGCACATTGTGGGAGGGTATCTGTTCTTTGGAGTATGCATGCTCCAGGAGGAGCCTAACGCTAATGCTTTGAAGCTGTAAAGTTGGGTAGGTCTGATCTTTCAGGGGCAGTGTTTAACTTGCTTGGAGTACAAATGCTTGTTACACTGGATTTACTTTCTGTACCAGAAGAATATAGAGAAATGACACAATTTACTCTCTGGCGTCAATCATCTGTCATTGGAGTTAGCTAGTAAAGAAACTGTCAGGAAAAAAAATGTGAAGTGTCAACATGTAGAACTTGGCATGTATCAGATGTATGATATTGTAGACGATGCATGTCAGAATTTGAGGGGAGATTCTGTTATTAGATAGTCCTACACTTCAGTCAGAGGTATATCTAACTGATGAGTAGCTGCCTGATGTCAGCTAAGTCTGATTTTGTGTTCCGATGCTTCAAATGAAGTCCAAAAGCATGTTTCGTTTTCAGATGATCATTGTAGTATATAGTATTTATATATTTTGAAACATGAATCTGTTTCCATACCAAACTTCTTTTGTATTGTTTGTGCATTTGATTCTTATTACAGTACTGCTTATAAGGGTTTGGTCAGTGGTTTGGTTCTATTTATTTATTTATTTACCTTTTAACAAATTAGAAGTTGAATGATTCAACAATTGGTATGTTCGTAATCCTACTTGGAACAAGTGTTTCTTGGGCTGCATGATTCAATTTCATCACAGATTCTCAGAGAAGCATGGGGTCTTCTGAGGGCAGCAGTGTTTATTATTAGTAACAGGAATGCTAAATAAGCTCTAAATGATCTGTTCTTCAGTTCTGTATAGAAGGGATCCAGGATGGATAAATTGTTTGGGTTTTTTTGTTGGTTTGGTGTTTTTTTGTTTTTTTGTGTTTTGTGGGGGTTTTTTTGTGTGTTTTTTTTTTTTCTGACCTTGAAGAGTTCCTTAGCCTTTGTGACCTTTTCGCTCCTGGCCTGACAAATGTGTCTCCAGAATTTTTTGTGGAGGTCTGTTTGCAGTTGGCACAGGCAGTGCAGTTGGAGAATGGGAGGAATTGATGGGTTCAGCAAGGTGTGTAGAAGGTATCACTTTTGGGTCCCTGGGGAATTTCTGCAGAAGATACTACAGGTGACTGTACACCTTCTCCAAGGACTCTGATAGGTAGGTGCTGGTGTCAGAAGCAGCATGACAGTCTTGGTTGACTTAAGCCCATGTTCCTGTGGATCTTTAGGATTTTTCTGCTTTTTGTGAAATTGAGCATGAATTTTCATCAGGATGGTAGTGATGATCTTCACAAGGCTGTAAATGCAAAAAATCTTACTTGAATATCTGATCAGACTCAGAAGGAACAGACTTTTTTTGAAGGGTGTTAACACTGTATTTTAAAGGGTCTTTGAAACATTGGAGGAAGCCTGGATTTAGCTGGTGTTTCTCTAAGGTGTGTAAATTGAAAGCTAGTTCTTACTTTTTCTGAGCTCTTGTCATTCTCAAAAATACGTTTATTCTCAGATACATACTGAGGCTCACATATCACAGCTGGAAATTCCTCTTTGGGGAGCAAGCCCTGTCCCTGTTTCTGTCTCCCAGCTTCCACTAGCTGAATGGAGACTTCTGCCAGCATGCTTTTCTTTAGATGCCTGAGGTAACTTTCTGTGCTCCTTGGCTTGGTGCTGTAATAAGGACAGCAGTGGCATCTGTAACTTTTCCCATCTGGGATGGGTGCATGTTGAAACTTGAGAATTATGTTCATGAGTTTCATTTTTGAGTATGTACCATTTTCAAGTAGGTTTGAAGACCCTTTCCCATAACTAGAATTACAGATGTTGTCTTGGTTGATTGGTTTCTTAGTGAAGAAAGGTTAAAAAATGGAGTGTGCCATGGAGCCACATTTATCTGATGTGTTTTCTTTAGCAATAGGATTAGAGAGTCCTTGTTTAAATGATAATTACCTTTAGAGATTCAATAAGACTGAAATTAAATGGGAAATTACTTCATTGTGCTGTTGCATGGACCCTTGTTGTTTACACGATTAAAATTAGCTACAATTTGTCACATGATGCTTGAGTGTTTAATGGATGTTTTGTGGCTTGAGTGTTTCATTTCCTGGGAACTGTAAATATAAGCTTGCAGAACTGTTAGGATGTTTCTATTTCTCACTGGAAATTGAAAGATTACATACTTCTGTGGGTCTGGTTCACTGAGGTTTTTTATTAGTGAAGTTCATAGTTACAAAGTGAGACCTAGAAGCAGTATATAGTGCTGTCTTCATTATGTTCCCGTTTAAGCAAGAAGAGGCAACAAGGAATGAAAGACTTCATGCTAATTTATATTAAACAAATTGAGTAGAATGGTGATATTTTTCATTAATTTTTGGAATACGGTGAACACAGTTTTATACTGAGTTTGAAGGAATGTGACATCATTTGTAAAAGAGAAATGCAATCTGTTTTTTGGTCCTGTTTTATAAAATGATATATGCTCACATGGGACACTCTTAGTAACTATTTTGCTGAAATTAAATTTACATACCATTGTTATCCTAGTGATTAAATTACAAAGTAGAGAGGAAACTTCAGTAATCATATTTTGATTTTTAATGGAGACTGGTTTGTCTATCGAAGCCATGATTGATATTCTGGAAAGGAATAACTAGTCACACAAAAACAAACTCTTGATTTCATTGCTGTCTCCTAAGTCATGCTTGGTTTCTTCTCCAAAACATTTGATAGGTCTTACCTCTTCCATCTGGGAATTTTGAGGTTAAATTCTTTAATACAGTCTGACAAAACAGTCATGAATATTGAGTACGGGTACTAAATTGGGCTTTACTAATATAAAAATCATCTTAATAACAATTCTCTATACAAAATAATGTACACATGATAGATAAGGAGAATTTTGTGTAGCAGCTTTCATATTTAAAGTTCCCTGATTTTCATTTTATTCTGCAAGCATAGAAACAGTGATTTTACTTTCAGAGGACCTTCAGACTCCTTTAGCTTGCATCTGGAGTCACTGGGACAGAAGGGAAACTACTTCAAGTGAA